TAAAACCGACCACTTCGTTGAGAATAGGCATAGTTGGTGTTCCTAGAGAAAAAAAAAAAAATGAGAAAGAGAAACAAAATGGAAGAATAAAATAGTTAATGCGTCTCTAAAGAAGGAAAAAAAAATAATTCTCCGGTGCCTTTGCATAGCGCTGGACTTTAACCGCACCTGCATTTTTCCACCTTATTAAGTCAAAGTCCATGAAAATGGCCTCGTGCATAGCTTTTTTTCGGGACACCTTGTGCTCCTCTCCTCTTTCATCTCCCGTTTGTGACTTTTTTTGCTCGTTTTTATTGCTATACAAATACTCTTTTTTGCGAATAAATTAAAAAGATATGAACAAAAAATGATTCAACGGGCGATCGAGAGAGGAAGAACATGAAATATTTTTTAATAATGCGAAAATGATGCTTGAAAGATTGAAATAAAAGGAAGATGTGTGTTTTTAAAAAGAAAAGAAAACAGCGATTGAAACGAATAGGCAAAAAAGGGAATGGCAGTAAACAGAATAAAGAAATACATTTTTTTTTTTTTGTATTTAGTTTTTTCCGTTTCAATTAAAATATTTTCTGTTTTTTTCCTTCTCTTTTTTTTTTATAATATATATTTTTTGAAAAATAAGAGTCAAGCATAAAAAAGAAAGTTAAAAATTTGTTACTTGGATAGAATTTTTATTTCTGTTTCTCGAGATTAAAACTTCTCTCATAGTGTTATGTATACATTTTGTACTTATTTTTTTTTGTGTATTAAATTTGTGTAGATAATTTTCTTTATCATGAATAGAAAAAAAAAAAATTATAGAAAATTGCCGAAAGTAGAAACTCTGTTTCTCGGATTGAGATGATTAAAAACCATTTAATTTCCATCCTAATTTTAATATTGGCCAGATATTTTTTTTTGTTCTTGTAATCGATAGTAGTGTCTAATGATTAAACAAATATAAATATCGCGTTTTATAGAACATAAGTAGTAATAAGATATAGGCCTTTATTGCCTAATTTGCACGAGCTAAGAGAATGAAAGGAAGAAATTGTGAGTGAGTTGCAAGCGAGAATGAGAGAATGATGAAAACATAACAAAATGATAATAACGGATTGAGTTTGCATAAATCTCATTTTGCAATTTATCTTGAAATTGTGAGAAAAAAAAGATATAAAGGAAACATCTTAAATCTTGAAAAAATAATTCCAGTAAAAATTTATATAATTTGTTTTTACACAGTAAAAAATATATTTTGCGCTCAATTTATTTAATTCTCTATAGATTAGATGTATTCTAATTAATAGAAGGAATATGTCTTAAAGGAATAACTTTTAAAATGAATTACACTAGAATAATATTAAATATCAAACGTATTAAAACATTAAAAATCTTGATCTAAAAGCAGTGTTTTGCTTTAATAACATATTAGGCTATAGAGGATTATACGATTAATAACATTATTATTATTATTATTATTACTATTTTTTTGTATTATTTGTATATTATTATTTACAGCGATACGATTAGATAATCGAATTCTATTTCTGTAATAAGTTTGAAAATAATCATTGCTCGAAATGAAATATTTTATTTATGATATCCTAATATTTTTCGATTATTAAAAATTGTACCATCATTAAAAATCACTTATTTTATATTTATGGATAATTTTAAATGCAATTTCGAGCATTGATTTATAAATAAAATTTATTATTTTTAACAAATAATTTCAGACGTAAATGTAATTGCTCGAACAGGGAAGATAAAGAAAAAAAAATCTAAAAATTTAAAAGATAACAGTTTGTTATAAATCAAACGCGATTCACTGAGAGATATGAAGATGACAATGAAAACCATATTTTTCTACACAATGTCGAAAAAAAAAACTTAATCGTACTAATCCAGAATAGAGCCGAAAACGAATTCGATTTAATAAAATAACCTCGTTGTGAAGAATAATAATTTACTTCACGCACGAGCTACAAATTTCAATTGGTTCATGCAAAAATATAAAGACATGAAAGAGAGAGGAAAAAGTACAATAATGAAACAAGATGCGTGCATTATATTTAGAGAAGAGTCAAAGTATTCTCTCGCGCACTTTTTTCCTTGTAAATACAAAAATTGA